GACCCTTTGAGAATGATATAGTGTCCTTCTGTGTCTCTAACTACAGTCTTTAGCTTAAAATCTAATTTGTCTGATATAAGAATTGCTACCCCAGCTTTCTTTTGTGGTCTGTTGGCATGGAAGATAGATCTCCATCCCTTCAACTTCCAGTCTGGATGTATCTTTAGGTTCAAAATGAGTCTCTTGTAGACAGCATATGGATGGGTTCCGTCTTTTTATCCAATCTGCAACCCTGTGCCATTTTATGGGAGCATTTGGCCATTCACATTGAGAGTGATTATTGAAAGATATGAATTTATTGTCATCATGTTGCCTGTGAAGTCATTGTTTCTATAGATTGTCTCTGTAAATTTCTGTTCTATATTACTCTTGGGGTCTTTCTTCTTTTATAGAACCCCCCCCTTAATATTTCTTGCAGTGTTGGCTTAGTGGTCACATATTCTTTCAGTTTCTGCCAGTCTTGGAAGCTCTGCATCTCTCCATCCATTCTAAATAACAGCCTTGCCAGATAAAGTATTCTTGGCTGCATGTTCTTCCAAGTTAGTACCCTAATTATGTCTTGCTAGCCCTTTCTGGCTTGCCAGGTCTCTGTGGATAGGTCTGATGTTATTCTGATGTTCCTCTCTCTGTATGTAAGGAATCTCTTCCCCCTTACTGCCCTTAAGATAGTTTCCTTGGTTCTAAGATTTGCAAGTTTTATTATTACATGCCGGGGCATTGGTCTGTTTTCCTTGATCTTGGGAGGGGTCCTCTCTGCCTCTAGGACACGAATGTTTGTTTCATTCCCCAGATTAAGGAAATTCTCAGCTATGATTTGCTCAAATATATCTTCTAGTCCTCTCCCTCTCTCTCCACCCCCTCAGGGATCCCAATAATTCTGACATTGGAACGTTTCATGGCGTCACTTATTTCTCTAATTCTGTTTTCATGGATTTTAAGCTGTTTTTCCCAGGCCTCCTTTTTTTCCTTCTTTTCTATCAGTTTGTCTTCTAGATCACTAATTTGTTCTTCTTCCTCGTTTACCCTAGCTGTTAGAGTATCTAGATTACATTGGATCTCATTGATAGCATTTTTAAGTTCTGCCAGTTCAGCTTTCACTTCTGCCCTTAGAGACTCTATGTTGCCATTAATCGATTTCTCCATTCTAGCTATCGTCTTCATAACTGTTACTCTGAAGTCCATTTCCAACATCTTGGTTATATTTGTATCCATTTGTAAATCTGTGGCAGAAGTCACAGTCTCTGAGTCTTTCCTATTTTGGGGGTTTCTCCTCCTAGTCATTCTGTTGAGGGGTGGTTGAGGGAATGTACAGAGTCCAAATTATTGACCACAACCCAAGCAAGATACACCTGTTTTACAGGGACCTTAGGGTTGTCGGCTTCTTGTTCTCCCAGCCTGTCTTCTGGGGGTGGGCGCTGCCATGCTATTACTAAGGCAACCCTGTTTGGGCAGAGTGGCCCTGCTCCCTGTGGGAGGGGATGGGCTCAGCAAAAACTGGTTTTGGGGGGCTTTTGTTCTCTGGTGGCTTTCCCTGGTGGCTTTCCATGTCTCTTCCAAGAGTCAGAGCAGAAGAGACCGTTTCCAACCCTCTGCCTCAGAACAGAGAGATCGCAGTCTGTTCTTCAGTGAGCTCTCCAGGCCACACTATCTCCGTTTCTGTCTGTGCTGCTAAAAACTGCAGCATCCTGGGTTGTGTGCCCCTCAGCAGCACTCCCAGCCCTTAGTTCCAGGTCTAGGGATGTCTCTGTCCTTTGTGCTTCTAAAACTGCCAGCTGCCCCCAGTTTGCATGCACAGCCCCACTGCTCCAGGTTTCAGTCCGGGGAGCTGCTCTAAAATCCTTTCCCTGCTGTTACTGGTCTGCGAGTCTGTGCCCTGTCCCCAGAGCAAGAGGCTTTCACCAACTGGTGGTGCAGGATCCCCATGGCTCCCTCCCCCTTCTGTTTATCTTCTGATATCTGCCCGCAGAATCATGGCTCCCTGCTTCATACCTCAAAACCAACTGCCTGTGATATTCTGTTTGTAGAGATCCAGATATATCTTCTTATATCTCAGGCTGATTTCGTGGGTATTCAGAGTGGTCTGGTAGATATCCAGTTTAATTCAGGAGACCGATTGGAATAAGGTCCCCTATTCCTCCACCATCTTTTCTGTGCAGTAGATTTTAAATGAGTCTCTATGACATTGGATGTATAGGTTGGTAAAGGAAATGCTTATAATTCCACTGATTCAGTGTCTTCATTTCTAAATAGGGGTAGCTTAATAATTCTTTCCACAGAAGCATCTCTTTCTGAAATTGGTGCAGCCTCCTCGCGTCCAGCTGAGCAGTGAACCCAGAGATGATGGGCCGAGACTGCGGGAGCCCTTGAGGTCCCCAGACCAACCCCCAAATGCTGTTATATGCTTTCAATTCACACTCTTGGTCGTGATTTAACAATTCAGTCAGCCTGAGAAGTAATCAATAGATTTTTTGACTTGAGAAAGTGTCCACAAAGAATCACAGTAATGCAGAAAAATTGAATAGAACATTAACAATTTTAGTAATAAATCAAGTTTTGTTTTGAAGTCTGTGATGTCATAAAATTGTTACAGTATTCTATATTTAAGGGGCACCTGGGTGGCTCAGTCGGTTAAGCATCCAGCTCTTGATTTCAGATCAGGTCATGATCTCAGCTCGTGAAATCGAGCCCTGCATCAGGATCTGCACTGAACATGGAGCCTACTTGAGATTCTCTCTCTCCCTCTCCTTCTGCCCGCCCCTCCCCCTGTCATGCTCTCTCTCTCTCAAAAAAAAAAAACTATTAAAAAATACTACACTATTTATCAGTAACCTTTTAATTCCATTAAAATATAAAGAATCACTAAGATATATGAATCAACTTGTGTATTTGAAGGCATATATATTTGTAGATAGCATGAATACCTGGAATCCTCCAAATTTTATATTCGAATTGGGACAAAATGGTAAAAAAAATAACTTTTGGTAATTGACATCGCCTTTGGATAGTATTCATGTCTCTAGCTTTAGACTTTTCTTTAAGAATTAATAACCAGAGAATAAAATACAGACTGATGAGATACAACTCTTGGCAAAAAAGCTCAAAAACTGCAAATATAAAAATTACCCCTCAGAAGGGTTTATTGTTTTATTTTCCTTATGCTTTCTGTAATTAGGAGAATATAGGCTGATACTTAATTTTTGTATTATGATAACACACTAAGTTCTAGGTATTGTTTGGTGGGAGGGTAAAGCAATTTGTGTTTTTGACACTTCTGTTTTGAAGAACAATCCTTTTAAAAGGTATGTATAACTAGGAATGCCAATTCTGCTACTCAGAATAAGCTCCCATTAGACTGCCCACCTCACAAGGGCATGGGTTTTGTCTATTTTTCAGCATGTTATCCCAAAAAGGAAACAAAAGCACAAACAAGATCCAGGAGAGAGGAGTCACCAGAGTAGAGTCATACCACAGAGATGGGGCAGCAGAAGGGGCACATGGTGAGAGAGAGAGAGACCTGAGGTGACAGGTGGGAGAGGCACAAAGAGGGGTAAAAAAGTTGGGGACATCAGAGGGAAAGGACCACCGAGGGTGAGAGCAGACCAGGAAAACAGGGGCAGGAAAGAAGAGCAAGGCATGTAGGGGAGGAGAAAAGAAGGAGGAGAGTGACAGTCAAGAGAAAAAGGGGGTTTGATGATAGTGGATAACAGGAGAGAGGAAGCAAACGAGCCAGGGTGAGTGAGAGAGAGGGGTGTAAAAAGAAATCAGATACCCTGTTTGAAAGCATGTTTCCCATGGCAGGAATAAAAGACGGTAGTTTCATTCATTCGGATTAATTTCAAACTCTATTTCCTTAAAAAAAAAAAGCCTAAATAATTCTGAAATCATCGGTCAATTATATGGTAAACAAAAGACTGTAGTGGTTTAGAATATGTGTTTGAATACCACTGCCACCTAGAAACGTGGAGGCCTGGGGTAGGTTTCTTAAACCCTCTGAGCCTAGGGAAAAGGGGGATTGTATGATACCTCATAAAGGTGTACAGAATAATAATGGCTTATAGAGCTGGCACTTGCTTCCCCTGCCACATGCTATTGTAACTGCTTTACATTCATTAACTCATTCCTCACTACCACTTTATGAGGGGAGAAAATTGAGGCACCTAGAAGATAAGTAACTTGTCGTAGGCCACAGATCTTATAAGTGAAAGAAGTAGGCTTTTCCCCACTTTAGTATTAGAATTAGCGCCTTTAATCACTACATATACAACCTCTCAAAAAAGACTAAGACAAGGTGTAGAAACATAGTTTAAGAATGAAACTGTCCTCAAAAATGATAGATCCTATTCATTATCTAAACAGCAATTATAACTAGAGAAAAAAAGCCTCTTTTATACTGTTTCTTAAAGAAAAATCTGGGTAATGAAAGCTAAACTCAGGAGAAATAAATCAAAAGATCAATGCGTTATGACCAATTCATTTCACTAGTAATGGCCTCTTGAATAACATCCTTTTATTTTAGACTTTCTCTTCTTTCTCTTTTCTTTCACATAACCGGTCTGATGCTAGAATTCTGTATTTCCTTCAGAATTGCTCTTGGGATTGTCCTTTCTTCTCCTGAAGGACCTAACAGGGACATCACAGCTGAATTAATGAAATGAGAATTTGGAGCGAGGGAGATGAATGTTAGTGTCAGTAGCTAAGAGCCAACCATTATAATGATATTCTTTGAGTTGAAATGTTTTAATTGCTCTTCAAATCCAAAACCACTTAGAATCTTCACTGGTTGTAAAGATATGAATCAGTTTTAGCAGCTCATGGTGACTGTGCCCAAGATGGCACTCAGGTCCTGGAAGAAGAGGAAGTAAATGCCCAGTGCATTAACCAAACCCTGTGGTCCTGGGATCGTTCTGCATAAAATATTATGGGAAGGTGAGAGTCAAATGGGAATAGAATTTTAAAACTCTGAAAATTTCTTCCTACAAGAAAGAAACACATATACTCACTTTTTCATTGTAGATATCCCCAAGCATTGTACTTGCTCTTACAACATCTAGTCTTTGAAAATTGTTTCTTGCAATTTTCACAACTTTTTTCAAGTATTTAATTGCTTCTGTCATCTCTCCTTGGCTGGAATAAATAAAATAGGAAACTATTGGAGTATCATCTCATTTAATGTCACAGTAAAGAGAAGAAATTTTGTGTCTTTGCTTTAGAAAGTGCAAAATGGTCCAGGATAATGAAATGTGAAACGCAAATTTAAAAAATATGTGGGCTTGTCTTTGTTGGAGTATATAGTGAGTTAAAACTTAAACCTTTAAACCCTCATTGTTGCTGGTGAGATTGTAAAATGGTGCACCTGCTTTGGAAAACAACTTGGCAGAATCTCAAAAATTTTGATATAGTTACCATATGACCCAGCAATTCCACTCCTATATATATGCCCAAGAGAAATAAAAATATTATGTCCATACAAAAACTTGCACACAAATGTTCATAGCAGCATTATTTATAGTAGCTAAGAAGTGGAAACAATCCCAATGTCTATCAATTGAATGAATGAGCAAAATGTGGCCTATCCATACAATGGAATATTATTCTGCCATAAGAAAGAATGCAGTTTAGTGATACATACCACAACATGGATAAACCTTGAAAATATGTTAAATGAAAGAAGCCAGTCACAAAAAAAAAAAAAAAACATATTGTATGACTCCATTTACATAAAATGTCCAGAATAGGCAAATACATAGAAACAGAAAATAGGTTAGTGGTTACCAAAGGCTGGTGAGAAGGGGAATGGAGAGCGGTTGTGAAGAAGTATGGGGTTTCTTTTTGGAGTGACAAAAATGATCTGACTTAAATTGTGGTGATGGTTGTACAACTCTGTGAATATAACTAAAAACTACTGAACTCTAGACTTTAAAATGGTGAATATATGGTATATGAATTATATTTCAATGAAGGTGTCATTTTTTAAAAAAATAAAACCTCTGAAAAGGTGGAAATTTTCCACACTACTTTGCAAATGAAGCCAGTCCTTTTGGGGAGGCAGTACCTGCAGGAGGTATTAGAACAAATAAGATGAAAAGGGAGTATTCAGAATTCCCCCAACCAGGACTCCAAAGAATGAGAGAGAGATACAGCCCCCAGATGGAAGAGCCTGGCTTCTGGAAGGCATGGCACAACCATCTGGCAAACCCCAAGAATTTATATAAGGAAGAAATAAGATTTCATTGTGATATACCACTGAGATTCTAGAGATTGTTACAGCAACTGAAATTACCAAACCTAGCTAAAACAAATTTGGCTATTTTTTTTCTCTCATAAAGAATTGAAGGCACATCATTTTAAAGATTTCAATGAATTATATTCAGAAACTTCTATTGAATTCTGCTCTCATTTTATAAATCTGAGTCCCAAATACTCATCAGTTTTTCATGATCTGAATGCCACTTCAAGTATATACAAATCTTAGTTTTATATGAATGAACAAGAGCTAAACAGAAAGAGGAGGGAGGAATGGAAAAACTCTAAAAATCTCCCTAAAGGAGATAATTATTTGAAATTTGAAAGCCAGTCTAAGGAGATAGGCTCTTTTAGGAGCCAGTTGTAGTGATGTCCTATGTGAAGAATGCTTAGGGGCCCACTGAGAGAGGCACACTCTCATAAAAGCAAACGAGATTAAGAACCAAGATAAAAAATATTTGCTCAACCAAAGAGACAGTAATTTTCGAAAAGAGCTATATTCAAGGTATAATATACTATGACTGATTTTGTAGAGGTCGCTGAAGCCAAAGTCCAGCTCAAGGGAAATTTGGCTGCTGATACAGGGACATGCCATAAACAATTAAAATGCTATCGACAAAGCAAGAAGTGATTTCAAAATAACGGCTCCAAATTAAGTGTTCTGAAAAAATTCAGTATATCTGTTGACTCCCTGGATTTTTAATTTTTTCCCCAACTCCTAACAGAATGGTGAATCTAAGATTATATGAAATTCTACTGTTAAATCATATCAGAACCACTGAAAATTTGTATTAATGTGACAAAATCCAGAATTTAGAGATTTTTAAATAACAGAAAACTTATAAAGGTAGTCTTGAATTAACTATAATAAAGGAAAAACTCTTACTCTTATTTCTGATTGTCTCTGAATCCCTAGAATTTCCCTTTGCTTTCATAGGCCAGCAGTTCCCAGTGAACACCTATGCCATGACTCAATAATTCACAGGATGAAATTCTGAAATGCAAAGGTTGTTCTCCAATTGAGCTGCTCCGTGCACGGGTATTTCTCAGTTTATACTGCAAGGATTTACTCATAGGAGCTCTGGAGGGTATGGTAATGAATGTGACATATACAGAAGCTTTGCTACAAATTTTTAAATTACTGCAATTACTGGGTGCCTGGGTGGCTTAGGTGGTTAAGCGTCTGCCTTCCACCCAGGTAATGATCCCAGCGTCCTGGGATAGAGCCCCGAGTTGGGCTCTCTGCTTAGCCAGGAGTCTGCTTCTCTCTCTCACCCGACCTCTCCCTCTCTGCGCTCTCTCTCTCAAATGAATAAATACAATCTTTAAAAAATTATTGCAATTACAGAAAAATTTAGCAATATTAGTACCATATTTCATTGATTCTAAAACACACATTTTCCCAGGTTTTAACATTTCTAAAATCAGGATGTCTTACAACAGGTGGGCATCTTATAATCTTTGTCAGATGGGGAACAGTCAGATAGGTCAAAGTTGTTGCTGCAGAAGTGGATTAGGTTTATAATCCTGGACATGACCCAACAATTGCAATGCCTTGATATTTCTGTTAACACCTATTTAAAGATAATTTCAGAAACGGATAAGAGTACTGGTTGTTTTCTAAAAACCTTTATGAAATCTTCTGAAAGTTAAGAAAATACCAACTTCAAAATGGGCAAATTGAGTGTCCATGACTTGAAAAAAAATCCTGGAGATGATACTGGAGCACTATTTTAAGAAAGGCTATAGTACCAAAGTTCTTGATGGCATAAAAAATAATACGTTTGGGAAAAAAAAATAGTGACAATTCTGATTTAAAAGTGGTTCAGAAGAATTGGACTTGGAATGCAAATATGTTTGAGGAGTATAATCAATTTGTATCTTTTTACATGAATCCTTTAAAATAGCTCTTTTGTCAAATATAAAATTGAAATTCTAAGCAGTAAGAGTTATTATGTTACAGTTTAGTTAGAATATGATTTTTGGTAGTTTGTAAGGTGCATCGTCTGATAGAAACAATCTTAGATTCAGTGAAATCTAAAAATAAAGTTACTCCTTCAGTATGATGGGTAGTTCTTTGGCTAGTAAATTTTTGATTAAAAATTTCTAGGAAGTTTAAAATTCACAATGAATTTATGTATACATGATATATAACTAGAACATAATGAGAGCCAACAACTCTAAAACTGGTCTAATTACTTAATAGTTCTAATAAATCTGTACATGTATCTATTCATTTTATTTACTTTTATGCAAAAACAAATGTACCTAATTTTTTGTGCCTGTGTTTATGTCATATGTGCATAATCATAAAGCAATCATATATTCAACAGCATTCTGTTTATATAGTGGGCATCAAAATATCAACATTTCTAACCTTACAAATTCACTTGCGAAATGGCATTCATTTCCCTGGCTGCAGTTTAAATGGCAAAATTTAATATTAACCTAAAATCTCTGAGCAAATAGAACTCAACACATAATAATATTTTCCATGAATCTCTACAATAGGTGATTGGTGAACTATATTATTACCACACGCAATAAACAGTTGAGAAAGCATTTCTCGAAAAAGTAATATAAAAGGTAATATTTTATTTTCAGTGGCAAGAGTTTTTTAATTCTTATTTAAATTCAATTAGCCAACATATAGCACACCATTAGTTTCAGATGTAGAGTTCAATAATTCATCAGTTGTGTATAACACCCAGGGGTCATCACATCACATGCCCTCCTTAATGCTCATGGTCCAATTACCCCATCCCCCACCCACCTCCCCTCTAGCAACCCTGTTTGTTTCCTATAGTTAAGAGTCTCTCATGGTTTTTCTCCCTCTCTGATGTCTTCTCATCTATGATCGTCTGTGCTGTTTCTTATATTCTTCATATGAGTGAAACCATATGATAATTGTCTTTCTCTGATTGACTTATTTTGCTCAGCATAATACCCTCCAGTTCTATCCACATTGATGTAAAGGGTAAGAATGCATCCTTTCTGATGGCTTAGTAATATTCCATTGTATATATATACCACACCTTCTTTACCCATTCATCTGTCAATGGACATCTCGGCTTTTTCCACAGTTTCGCTATTGTGGACATTGCTGCCATAAACATTGAGATGCAAGTGCGACACACGAATGGGTTGAGTGTGTCAGAGTCACTACCGGGCAAATTAAAAATTATTTGGCTGTTTTACAAAATTAACTAGAGTGGGAAATTATGTGTATAACCAAAGCAAATAGTTATCTAAGATTAGAACTTATTCAACTTGGAAAAAAATGTCAACCTGCCTTGTTATTTCTATTCTTAATTATTCTTGGGTATAATTGTCATACAATATTGTATTAGTTTCAGGTTTACAACGTGATGATTCAACACTTGTCTACACTGAGATGATCACCACAATAAATCTAGTCACCATCTGTCTCCATAAAAATGTTACAAAATTTTTTTTGCTTTTGATGAGCACTTTCAAGATCTACTCTCCCTCAGCAACCTTCAAGTACGCTCAACATCACTGATTGGAGTTGCTCTGCTGTACACCACATCCCCATGACATATTCACTTCACACCTGGAAGTCTGTACCTCCCAACCCTGTTCATCCCTTATGCTCAACCCCTAAACCCCCTTCTCCCTGGCAACCGCCAAACTGCTCACATACATGAGTTTCATTTTGCTTTGTTTTGTTTGTTTTTCAGATTCTGCATATAAGCGGCAACTTAAGTATTTATCTTTCTCCGCCGGACTTATTTCACTTAGCTTAATACTGTTAAAGTTCATCATGTTGCCCCAAATGGCAAGGTTTTATTCTTTTTTATGGCTGAGTAGAATTCCATTGTGTATGTATACTATATCTTACTCATTCATCCACTGATGAT